CGGTTCACAATTCTTCCACTAATGGGATGGTTTCTCTCCATGCACTCTGTCCAGAACTCAATTTTGAGCACCATGGTGAATTGAAAAGCAATTCAGTATTGGCATTGTTGGATGACCTCTTAACATTCTCTTCTCCCTCTCAGGAAGGAAGTCCCAGCTGCTTCAATCTTTCTACATAACTGAAGTTCCTCATCTCCAAACCATTCCCATAAATCTTGTTCTGTATCTGTGTATTGCCTTCACATCCACCCTAAAGTATATCACCAAGAACTGCACATAATATATCATGAAGCCAAACTGTGTTTTATATAAATGCAACATAACCTCTCCTTGTTTTTGCTGATAAAAATTTTGTCAAAGCTCGTTATCTTGAACTTATCAGAACAAATGCAAGAATACAAAATTTCCAACAATTACCAGTTATACAGGAGAAAGGAATCCCAACTGATAGGAAAGTCAACTCAGATATTGCTTTTCCTAACACTAATTAACCAGGCTATAGGTTCAACTTTTCTATCACTTTTTATATATAGAGGAAACACATTAACTATCTGCTGGTTCTCTGGGACTGCTTCTACTTTTATTAATAGAATACTTTCCAAACATAAAGCCATTTAGCCAGTGTATTCTCATCAGATCTCCATGACAGCAACTGAGTTGGTCCCACTTCCCCAGCATTTCTGCACAGCCTTACAAATCTTTATCTTCAGATATTCAATTTTTTTTTGAAAGCCTCAATTGAACCTGTCTCTCTCAGTCTCTGGCAGTGCATTCGAGATCCAAACTACTCACTGCATAAAAATGTTCTTCCCCCTATTGTCTCTGGTTCTTCTGTCAATCACCTTAAATTAGTATGTTATAACTCTCAACGTTTCCACCAATGCACACAGCTTCTTCCAATCTACTTTGTTGAGATCCTGCATGATCTTGAGAACAATAATTCAGGTTGAATCCCATGGAACTGTCTCCAAATGTGGGCTAAGCAGAGCTTCCTGTAACCTAACTTGCCTACAAATGTAGTCAGGGTCAAAAACGCTGGATTCAAATGCTGAATTAAAACACAGCAAAGCAGTAAATGTATGAAAAAGAATTTATTTGATTTGTTCACAGCTTATAATGATTTACAAAAATCCATGGTTTTGCATCAAGGAAGGCTGAGAGTCAACTCGTGGAATCACAATGAGTAATATGGTATATGCAATTCAGTGCCAGTGTGATGTCAGGTAAGTAGGCCATTAGCCCCAGCGACTAGTGGCTCACACCCAACACAACAACCTGTTTGCAACAGATTGTACTCAATCAGTCCATGCTTCCAAATCTAAGAACTTAGGGTCCTTCATTAGGTGTGATTCCATGTCTGAACATCACTTCTCCAGCAATCCCAAATGTACCCAGAATTACACTAAGAACCAATTTAAGATCATCAGTTTGGTTCACAGAATGACTCACTTACATGTGCTAGAAGCTATATTTATTCACACATACCATCCTCTCCTCTGCAAACAGAAAGAACAAGTTCATTCAATTAAACAAAGGCCTGAGAGGCAACTGTGCCCTTTGTCATTTCCCTAGCCACGCCTCAACCAGAGTCAATTTGCCTGTTTTCAATTTAAATTAAACCTTGGGATCAACAACTTTCCCAATTTAATAACTTTGCATTCTCCATGGCAACACCTCAACCAAGCAGAGTCCAGCTACCAATCAATTTGCAAGCACCCTCTTCTCATGCAATATATTGTTCCCTTTGAGATTTGGTATTCTTAGATCTCTCCTGAAGCATTTGATAGCATGTCTCCTTTTTTTTACAGCAATACTCACATTCTGTGCTCTCAGGTTCCATTGTTTGTTGATTATTTCCCTTCTGGTTATATTTTTGATCTTTTATTCTCATGTCATGTCCTGTCAACTCAGTTCCCTTATAAACGCCAAAGATTACTGATTAGTCATTATTAAGGGTTTGTATTATAAGGACAGGCTGGGACTTTTCTTGCTGGAGCGTAGAAGGTTGAAGGGTGACCTTACTGAAGTTTCTAAAATCATGAGGGGCATAGATAAGGTGAATAGCAAGGGTCTTTTCTTTACAGTGGGGGAGTTCAAAACTAGGGGGCACTTTTTAAGGTGAGGGACAATTCTTTTTTTACACAGAGGGTGGTTCGTGTGTGAACTGCCAGAGGAAATGGCATATGCAGGTACAGTTACAATATTTAAACAAACATTTGGGCAGGTACATGAATAGGAAAGGTTTGGAGCGATATGGACCAAACGCAGGCAAGTGGGACTAGTTTGGTTTGGGAACATGGTTAGTGTGGACTAGTTGGACTGAAGGGTCTGTATTTGTGCTGTATCACTCTATGACTCTAACATCCATGATAAATAATGATATCAAAATGGCAGGAAGAATGATTTTACTTATTATTATTATTACTTATTATTCGGGCATCTTTTGGAATATCTTAGTTTTTCTTTTTATATTCCTTATTAATTTAATTTTGTAGTTTTGGCTTTTTTTTGGACTTTCTTCCCAATCTTTTCATATTCCCTTTTGTTATCGATGTCTTTAGTGTCTGTGTACCCACTGTGTTTCCTTTTCTTTAGGTTAAATTGTCCCTTCATCTGTCTATTCATCTCTGGTGTATCATTACTGGTTAGCTCATTCTTGCTTTCCATTGCAATGTATTGCTCCAGTATTCAGTTATCGTGGTCTTGTGATCTCAAGAGCAGCCATTAACTTCATCATCAGCTCAGTGTCCTGGCTATCTTTGACCCAGTTGCCTTGGGACGGTGATATCTGCCACGTGCTCAGTTTTTTCCCTTCTCCAGTACAGAGATTTGACACAGGAGCGAGTCCAGCTGGGGTGGAGCAGCTTGCTGGCTCTGGAACAGCATGTTACTGTTGTATCTGTTTGGAGAGAGTGGGTAATGTTTGACTCTGGTTGAGGGTGGAGTGGTAGCCTGAAATGGGAGAGGACAAGAAGCGTGCACTTCCAGGAATGAACACAAGGCTGTCATCAGATCCAGCTTTTCATTGCTCCACAACTCCAGCCTCTAATGTGGGAGCTGTGTCAGGGAAAAAAACATGACAGCTAAGCCACAGTTCATTTGGAAGCTTTCCCTGAATGCCTGGGATTCCAGCAGCAGAAATATGGAGGAGCTTCTTGAAGATGTGGCCTTTGAGTTTACCATCATAATCAGCGTCAATATCACATACAAAAAGTATCAGTATTCAATCTTCAGCCCAGTGGTATATTTCTCCATTTTATTTGGAACCTTCAATATCCTCACAGTTGACTGAGTAACCAGTGATTTGCTGACAATTTTGTGAATGATAAATGACAACACAACACAATCACTTCCTTTTCAGTTCCTTGAGGGGGTGCGCGATCAATTTGGGAACCTAACCCAGAGTTAGGTTCTATGCAATGGGACTACACTCGCTGTTGCTTCATTTCAGAAGGACAGAATGTACAGCTTGGATTCCAAGCCTGGTCTGGGTGACACACAGCTGTCTGTACCCAATACACCCTGGGATGGTCAGGACCAGGTCTCCGTCTGGAATCGACCACATCGTTCCAGTTCCACAAGAAGCTGCTCAGACTCGGGTTCTGAGAGGCCACCTTTCGACTGGAAAACAGACTTCAGGGAATCTGTGACCTGCGTTGGCATCATCTTAGCATTTCTGTGGGCAAGAGAAAATAGAACAATGCGGATTTGGCAAAGAGTCATAGAGGAGCAGAAATATCTTAAACAACAAGCTTTTAGTATACATAACAGGAAAATCAGGAAAAAAACTTTTCCCAGACAGTAGTTTAGAATGAGGAACTCAGTAGCAAAGGGAACAGTGGAGATGCATTTAAGTGGAATCTCAAGTGAAAGATGAGTGGTGAAAGGAAACCAGCGTGCTGTTAAAGGAGCTCCTTAGACACTGAAGCAGTGTGCCCTCATGAAACAAAACCTGGACAATATTCAGGCTTCTTGGGCTCTTAAGCAGCAAGTAATATTTGTGTCATACAAGACAGAATCTTTCCATCATCCCGTGATATTCAATGGCACTACCATCACTGAATCCCCCATGATTAATATCTTGGAGTTATCATTGACCAGAAACTGAACTGAACCAATAGTGTAAATACTGTGGTTATTAAACCAGATCAGTGGCTGGGAATTAAGTGGCAAGTGACTTAGGAGTGTAATGGAATATTCTCCACTTGCCTGGGCATGTGCAGCTTCAACAACACTCAAAAGGCTCAGCACCATACTGGACCAAGCAGTCTGTTTGATCGGCAAATCCTTTCTACCACCTTCAACATTCACTCACTTCACCACTGACACACAATTGCAGCAGTGCATTAATATACAAGATGTACTGTAGCACGTCGCCAAGGCTCCTTTGGCAGGACCATCCAAACACGTGACCCCTATACCTCGAGGATAAAGGCACCAGATACATGGGAACACCACTTGCAAGTTCCCCTTCAAGCCTCTCACGATCCTGACTCGGAAATATATCACTGTTCCTTAAGTGTTGCTAGTTCAAAATCATGAAACTCCTTCCCCAACAGCACTCTGGGTTGTACTGACACCACATAGACTGCTGTGGTTTCAGGTGGCAGCTTACCACCACCACCTACAGGGCAATTAAGGATGTGTAATAAATGCTCACCCAGCCTGTAATGCCCTCATCTCAAGAGCAAATAAAACTACAGATGAGTATGATGGGAGAATCCTTGTGTAATATGTCAGCATTGACACTAACCTATAGGTCAGAATGGCATGTTTGCATTATAAATACTTTATAGTCTTGAACATGATGAAGCAGGTTCATCCCAACATCAGCATCTCCTTGAGGGTCAAAAGGATCATGAATTCCTTTGTGGCTGATAGTTTTGTGAAGCTTTGATTCTGGCCCATTGCAACAAATGCCAGGAGACCCAGACAACTGAAGGAGGTGTTCTGTGAAGGGTCACTAGACCTGAAACATTAACTCTGCTTTCTTTCCACAGATGCTGCCAGCCCTGCTGAGTTTGCCCAGCAATTTCTGGTTCTGTTTGTGACTCAGACTACCATCTATCTGCTGCTGTGGAGGGAGTTGTGTCCAAAGAGGCAAAGATAAGTGACAAAATAAATCTCCATAATTGACTGAAACAAAGCATATATCTGAGTCAATGCTAGCGATGTAAACTGAGGGATCAGTGCTAGGTACACAGACCTAGCTAGGACATTACAAGCATTCACTGAAACTGAATTATGAACATATTATTAGGAGCAGGAGTAGGCTGATCAGCTTCTCAAGCCTACTCCAACACTGAATGAGATCATAGCTGATCCAATTACTCCACATTCCCATCCATCTCCAACAACCTTTCACTACTCCCCCTCCCCAATTCCTTATCAAGAATTGATCTACATCTCCCTTAAAAACATTCAAGGACCTCTTCTTCTTCGGAAAAAGAGTGAGATTGTGAGAATTGTTTTCCTCATCTGTGTCTTAAATGGGTAATCTCTTCTTTTTAAACGGTAACCCCTACATCTACATTCTCCACGAGAGAAAGTTGTTTTTTACGCTTCTGAACTCCAGTGGATACAACTCTGTCCTGTCCAAACATTTCTCATAAGACAATCTGCCCATTTCAGGTAATATTCAAGTAAACCTACTTTCAACCGCTCCCGAGACAACAAGGTGCAGGGCTGGATGAACACAGCAGGCCAAGCAGCATCATAACTGCTCCCAATGTATTTATATCTGTTCTTAAATAAGGAGACATATATATGTGAATACAAAATATTAGAAGTAGGCTATTCAGCCCTTCAAGCCTGCTGTGCCATTCAATATGATCATGGCTGATCTGTTCATGTTTTGAATTCCACATTTCCATCTACCCTGCTAATTTTTGATTCAACTACATATCTACCTAACTCTGCTTTAAAAATATTCAATGACCCTGCTTTCATGGTCTTCTGAGGCAGTGAGTTCCAAAGTGTCAAAACCCTCAGAGAAAAAAAATTCTCATCTCTGTCCTAAAAACGGCAACTCCTAATTTTAAAACCGTGCCCCTAGTTCAGAGTAATACACAAAGAAGAAACACATTTTCCATGTTCACTTGTTAAGATGGTTCAGGATCTTGTCCACTTCAATCAAATCATCTTTTATTCTTCTAAATACCAGTGGAAGCAAGCCTAGCCTGTTCATTTTATCCTCCTAAGACAAACTAATCATTCCAAGTATCATTTTAAGAGTTATATAAAGTTGCTGGAAAAAGAAACTGCAAGCCTAAGGACCCGGAGCAGTTTAGAATTCCATACTATAAGGATTCTATGGTCTATGAATTCAACAAATGAGGATCAAGAGTTAGATTAAGAGGGGGAAACAGAGTAGTGTGTAAACCTGCAAAGAACATAAAGTAGATTGTATAAGCTTCTATGAATATGTAAAAAGGAAAATTAGTGATGTAATCCTGTACACAGCAATCCAGATGTGGCCTCACTAATGCCCTGTATACATTTTTTTCTTTTCTAATCAACCTGTTCAGAGACATTATTACACATCTCTGGAGCAGGTACAACTTGAACTCCCGGGCCTCCTGGTCCAGGCATAGGGCCATTAGCACTGCACCACAAGAGCTCTAATGTCTTTTAAGCTTTATGGGAGCAGCGATGGGAGTGGGGTTCACATTTGCACAGCTGACAATGGATCAGCAGTCTACCACCTAAATTCAGCTATCTCGTTTCACACACTAATGCCTTCTTTAACTGAAGCATGACCTCTCTATGTATGTGCTCAATTCCCCTCGCAATTGACAATGGCATTGGATTAGCTTTCCTAACGACTTGCTGTACCTTGTTACTAACCTTTTGCAATTCGTGCATTAGGAGACCCATATCCCAATGCATCTAAGAGCTCTGCAATCTCACACCATTTAGATAATATGCTTCTGTTTGTAATCTTCTTACCAAAGTAGATAATTTCACATTTTCCCACTTTATAAGCCATTTACCAGATCTTTGCCTGCTCAATTAATCTATTCACATCCCCAATTAGCCTCCTTAAGTCTTCTTTATAACTTACTTTCCTATCTATAGGTCATCAGCAAATCCCTTCATCCAAGTTACTTATGGAACTTGTAAAACGTTTAGGCTCCAGCACTGGTTAGGTGTGGTGCCGGAGGACTGGAGGGTGGCTAATGTTGTGCCTGTATTTAAGAAAAGCTGTAAGGAGAAGCCCAGGAACTACAGACTGGTGAGTCTGACATCAGTGGTGGATGAGTTGTTGGAGGAGATTCTGAGAGATAAGATTTACACACATTTGGAAAGACAAGGACTGATTAGGGATAGTCAACCTGGCTTTGTGCGTGGGAAATAATGTCTCACAAACTTGATTTAGTATTTTTGAGGACATGACCAATAAGACAGATGAGGAAAGAGCAGTATATGTAGTTTACTTGGACTTTAGTAAAGCCTTTGTCAAGGTTCCACATGGTAGACTGGTTAGTAAAGTTAGATCACATGGGATTCAGGGAAAGCTTGCCAACTGGATACAAAATGGGCTTGATAGTAGGCCTGTCACCAGGTGACCAGGTGTTCCACAGGGATCGGTGGTGGGTCCACTTTTGCTGTTCATTTATATAACCGATTTGGATGAGAATATAGCAGCCATGGTTAGTATGTTTGCAGATGACACCAAAATTACTGGTATAGTGGACAGTGAAGAAGGTTATCTAAGATTACAAAGGGATCTTGCTCAATTGGGTCTATAGGTGTGCGGCTGGAAAAACACAGCAGGTCAGACAGCATCGGAGGAGCAGGGAAGTCAACGTTTCGAGCTGAAACCCTTCTCAGGACTGGGGCAGGGGAGGGGATCCCAGAAATAAATAGAGGTAGGAGCGTGGGGCTGGGGAAGGGTAGGAGAGATGTTGATAGGTGGATGTGGGTAGGGGGTTGTTGTGATTGGTCTGTGGGAAGGGTCAAGCAGATAGGTGAGTAGGAAGATGGTCAGGTTGGGTTAGGTCAGGGAAGTGAGGGGGAGGGGGAGGGGGAGGACTGGACATGGGATAGGGCTGGGGATGGAGGGATTTTGAAGCTGGTGAAGTCAATGTTGAGTCCACTGGGCTGTAAGCCCCCAAGGCAAAATATCAGGTGTTGTTCCTCCAATTTACATTTGGCCTCACTCTGACAGTAGAGGCAGCCAAGGATGGACATGTTTGTCGGGGGAGTGGGAGGGGGAATTAAAATGGATGGCAACCGTAAAGTCGGGTTGGTTGATATGTACAGGTCTCCTGATATAGAGAAGACCACATCAGGAGCCGCGGATGCAATAAATCAGGTTGGATGAGGTGCAGGTGAATCTCGGCCGGATCTGGAAGGAATGTTTGGGGCCTTGGATGGAGCTGAGAGGGGAGGTGTAGGGGCAGGTGTTGCACCTCTTGCAGTTTTTCTCTGGAGGCACTGTAGATAACAATTGGGTCCAAATTGTGAAGGTCTGAAAGTTATATGGAATCCATGGGGGATGGACCGTCTGCGTAGACAGGCACTGAGGAAGGAGACATGGCTGTAGTATTGATATTGCTACAGAATGTGGTTGAAGAGCTTCAGGGCAGAGGAGACAACCAGGGGTTGCAGTGGGAGAGAGACTCACTGAGCTCTCTACGGAGGGAGGAGGATAACTTCTTCAAGGGGCATCCTTAGAAGGGACTTCACGGTGTTGGTTTTCAGCGACTTTGAGACAATAAGGACTGTAGTTGCTGGACTCTGCAGTCCTTATTGTCTCTTTGATCAATTGGGTCAATGGACTGAGGAGTGGCAGAAGGAATGTAATTTGGATAAGTATGCTGTGTTGCATTTTGGTAACAGGAACAAGGGCAGGACTTATATAGTTAACGGTAGGACCCTGGGTAATGTTGTTCAACAGAGAGACCTAGGGGGTTCAGGTACACAGTTTGTTGAAAGCCGCGTCTCAAGTAGACAGGATGGTTAAGAAGGCGTTTAGCACACTTGACTTCATTGCTCAGACGTTTCAGTATAGGATAAAAACTGAAAGAACTGCGGATGCTGTAAATCAGGAACAAAAACAAAGTTGCTGGAAAAGCTCAGCAGGCCTGTCAGCATCGGTGAAGGAAAAAACAGAGTTAACGTTTTGGGTCCAGTGACCCTTCCTCAGAACTGATACTCAGAACTCAGTTCTGAGGAAGGGTCACTGGACCTGAAACGTTAACTCTGTTTTTTCCTTCACAGATTCTGCCAGACCTGCTGAACTTTTTCAGCAACTCTGTTTTTGTTCTTTGAGTATAGGAGTTGGTATGTCATGTTGGGGTTGTACAGGATGTTGGTGAGGCATCTTCTGGAGTACTGTGTACAGTTCTGGTCTCCCTGCTAGAGGAAGAATATTAGAAAAGATTTACAAGGAAGTTGCCAGGACTTGAGGGTTTGAGTTACAGGAAGAGACTGGATACGCTGGAACTTTCTTCACTACAGCGTAGAAGGTTGAGGGATGACCTTGTAGAGATTTATAAAATCATGAGGGGCATAGGTAAGGTGAATAGCAAAGGTAGGGGAGTTCAAAACTGGAGGGCATATTTTTAAGGTGAGAGGAGAAAGATTTAAAAGGGACACGATGGGATAAATTTTTCACACAAAGGGTGGTTTGTATGTGGAACGACCTGTCAGAGGAAGTGGTAGATGCAGTACAGTTACAACTTTTAAAAGACATTTGGACAAGTACATGAATAGAAAAGGTTTAGAGAGGTATGGGTCAAACGCAGGCAAATGGGACTAGTTTAGTTTGGGAAACTTGGTCAGCATGGGTGAGTGGACTAAAGGGTCTGTTTCCACGCAGTATGACTCTGTGGTCGTCGTAGCACGCCAACTGGTTTCATCTTAATCTGCAAAAGACCTATTTGTGCCTCCTCACTGTTCCCTGTTAGCAAACCAAACTTCTGGGAAAGTCACTCCACTCAAAACGTTAATTCTGATTTTTCTCCACATATGTTGCCAGTCTTGCTGAGCTTTTCTAGCAATTTCTATTTTCGTCTCGGATTTACAGCATCCGCAATTCTTTCGGGTTCTATCCACGCCGCTATGTTATGCCCTACACTATTACTTATAAGTTACTTATGGAACTTGTAAAACGTTTAGGCTCCAGCACTGGTTAGGTGTGGTGCCGGAGGACTGGAGGGTGGCTAATGTTGTGCCTGTATTTAAGAAAAGCTGTAAGGAGAAGCCCAGGAACTACAGACTGGTGAGTCTGACATCAGTGGTGGATGAGTTGTTGGAGGAGATTCTGAGAGATAAGATTTACACACATTTGGAAAGGCAAGGACTTTATTTTCTGCAATAATCTTTGATGTGGCACCTTATCCACAGCATGTTAATTCAAATAGCTCTAATTAATTGCTAAGCATGATTTACCTTTCACAAAACTCTGTTTATACTGCCTGGTTACCTTGTACTTTTCTAAGCATCCTGCTATACATATTTAATCATAGTTTCTAACATTTTCCCTTGGACAGATATTAAGCTAGCTGGCCTATAGTTCCTTGCCTTCTGCCCCTCCCTTTTTGAATAAAAGGAGTTACATTCATTGGTTTCCAATCTAACAGAACCTTCTCAGAATCTAGGAAATTTTGAAAAATTAAAATCAACATATCAACTATCTTATTAATCTCTCGGTTTTAAACCCTACTTTGAAGTCCAACAAGATTCAGGAACTTATCAGCTTACAGTGCCTAAAATTTGCTTGGTACAGTTTCCCTGGTGATTAAATTTTGAGTTCCTCCTTCCCTACCATTTCCTGATTTATAGTTATTTCTGGGATATCACTTTATCCTCTTATACTGAAGAGCAAAATAAAACATCTGTTCAATTCATCCGCCATCTACTTATTTCCTGTTATTAATTTTCCAGCTCAACTTCTATCAAACCAATGCTCATTTTATTATCTCCAACCAGCTTGCTCTTATTCACTAATTTATCCTCCCTTAATTCTTTAGTCATTCTTTGCAATT